TCATTTTTGGAGGACTCTGGAGGAAAATGGGAACTAGACTCCAATTCAGCACTTCACATCACCCCCAAACAGATGGGCAAACTGAGGTGGTTAATCGATCTTTGGGAGCTTTATTGAGAAGTCTCATCAAGAGAAACATCAAGGTATGGGATTTATCTCTTCCACAAGCTGAATTTGCGTATAACCGTTCCATTAGTCAAACAACCGGGTGTAGTCCTTTCGAGATTGTTTATGGTAAGAGTCCAATCACTCCCTTGGATCTTGTGCCCCTTAAAACTGAAACAACTTTTAGTGGAGCAGCTGAAGAAAGAGCAAAATATATCAAGAAGTTGCATGAACAAGTTTGAGAAAAGATTGCCAAACAAAATGAGAAGTATGCGCAGCAAGCAAATAAACATAGGAGGAAGGTCACTTTTCAAATTGGGGACAAAGTATGGATTCATCTCAGAAAGGAACGATTTCCCAATAGGAGGTTTCCAAAACTCCAAGCAAGAGCAGATGGACCTTTTACAATTGTTCAAAAGATCAATGATAATGCATACAAAGTGGAGCTTCCAGGTGATTATGGAGTGTCCGCTAAATTCAATGTGGCTGATCTTTCTCCATTTGTTAAAGACGAGCCTTTGGACTCGAGGTCGAGTCCTCTCCAACCCGGGGAGAATGATGAGGATGGATGTGATTTGCATGTACATGGGCTGCATGGGAGTGATCCAATGCATGTTTTCCATGTGTCTCAATCAGAATTGAAGGCTAATTGTTGAACAATTGTTGTTGGGGACGTTTTCTTTGGGTTAGCAGCATTTATGTTTGTTTTAAGTGTGTTTATTATAGCCATTTGTGGCTGTTGGTTTGTGAGGTTTTAAATTCTGGAGTTACAACAATTTTTTGTTGTTAATTCTTAGAGTTAACCATTGGTGTGAATGAAAGGCAATTAGTGCCATTGATGTATGTCTTAAAGTGTGCAACGGCCATTTGTGGAGCTGATTAGTTGGTTTCAGTTTTTGGCTTTTAAATATGTAATTTTCATAATTGTAAGGATGGTTTGAAACGAATGAAAAATTGAGAGAAACCTTGGTGTTTTCCCTTATTTTCTCTTATCTCTTGGTGGATTCCTTGAGTGGCGAGATTAAGACTTATCTTGGTGGATTCCAAGTGGCGTCGGAACTTATCTTTTAATAATTTTTGTCAATCCTAACATTTCCATCAACCCCTAAAACGTCCATAACCCTTCCAATTTAAGAATACCCTTACCAACTCCATAGGAACGGTATCAGTTTGGTTCAAATTCTCAAATTAAATTTTGGCGGAGTTTCACTAATTTCTGTATTTTTCGAGCTAACCATAGCTCGTTATATCCGTTGTTTCAACCTTCAAACACAAATCACAATCTTCCTCATCTATTTTTATCATCATAAACAACATAAATCTATGGTTTTATCATTCTTTTTTCACAAAAATTTTCCATAAAACAAAATGCTAAAAACATAGTCCAATAACTGAAAATTTAACCTTTATACATTAGATTTTTCAGTATCAATAATTTCCATAAGCAAATCATCATTCTTAGCAAAATTTTTTCCATAACCTCTACTGTTCATGGATGTGTAGCCACTGCAGAGAATGAGAAGAAAAATTGAAATTTTACCTTAGAAAGATGAGAAGACAACCCTGGTGATGCTAATCAACGGTAGTTTTCATCAGTTTTCGCTTAGAACTCGTTTTCTCTCACTTTGGGTGAATTTTTTTCTACTTCTCTCTTGGCTTAATGTTCTCTGGTTTTTAGCATGCAAAAGTGAACATTTGGTTGTGTTTTTACCTTATAAAACCGGCCATAAAAAAGTAGGGGGCCTAGTGTAAATTTTGACTTTTCTAGGGTCTTTTTTGCAAAGAAAAGTCAAAATTTCTTTTGCTTTCTCACTAAGCTTGGCCGGCGGCCATCATCATCCACTCCCACATGTCCTAATCTCAGCCCTTCATCCATTTAGTCATTTTAAATTTCAACCATGCATATATAATAGTTATCTTTTTCTGGTTCAGTTTAATACCTATATGGTGCGCATTTTATTTGTATTTTTCAGACAATTGGTCAACTTTGTTTAACATTGGCTAACTTTTCATGAGTGACCTATTGGTGGACTCTTGGTCAACAAATTTTGACTCGGTCAACTCTAATCGGTCGAAAACCTTAATTTTCTCAGTTCGGCCTTTCGAACCCCTTTTTCATCCGTTCTTCATTCTGATTGTTTCTAAAACCCCAGAATTGATATTTTTCAATTCTTTTTCATTCCTTAATCTTAAAATTTATGTGTTTGCCCACTTGTGGGTTTAACACAACGTTCCATGCCTTTTTCTTGATTACAGTCTGAAATTCGATAACTGCATCATAGTTCATAAATTTCTAACTTTTAACTTATACTTTGCTATTCAATAATAAAATCAACGAATACTTATCATAAAAGTATTCATATTTATATTATAGAGAATTCTAGGAAATTTCATCTTATACAATAATTTCTCCGACAAAATTTCCCGGTCATGACACTTAGGCACATGTCTAGGCACAAGCACGACCTAAGCACGTTAAGGCACACTCCACAAATAAATGGGCAGTGGGCCATGCTTGATGCCACAAAAGTTAAATGGATAAGGTCTAGCATGGCACGGTAAATAAATAGGTTGGTCTAGGCACGACACGAGGCACGTATGAGACCAATTTAAATGGGTCGGCCGTGCTGACATGATTGACATCTCTAGTTGCACTTGCACGCATTCTCGTAGTATTCTAAAACTTCAAATAAATAATAGGGTCTTTTGATTAGGAAAAAAATACGTATTTTACGCCAAATACGATTTTAGTACTTGTTCGTTAAACTCTTAATTTTGACAAAATGTGATTTTAATAATTCTGTTCCGATCTTTTTTTTTAAGGTTTTAGAGATTGTGAGTAGATAACTGATAGATTTGTGTAACGATTTGAATTGGGATGTAATGTTCGAGAAATTCGTAAGTATAAATCTTGAAAATTTATCAAGATTTAGCAAAACAATTTCTTGATGTACTTTTTGAATTATGTTAATATATTTTGGTGATGAAAATTAATGAAACATATTATGTCACATTTGATTTAAATTCATTCACTAAAATTATATTATATGCGATTTATATTTTAATATAACGAATTGTGGAATGGAATTTTTGGGTGAATCCAATATGAATGTATAAATTGAGATGATCTTCACGACACACAAGATAACAACAGAAGTTCACATATTTTTGTTTACAGTGTAAAGATCATGATTCTTGATCAAATAATTAATAGTGATTAATAAATGTTTAAAAATTATCGGGTATCATATATGTCTTTGTTATATTGAGCTTACCGTCACAATAATTTAATCATATCAAGAGAAATAACACGTCATATATTTAATAAAAATTAAATTCACTATCATATATAATTTAACTGCAAAGAACTTTATCAGATAAAGTTCAAAAGTGATTTGATTTGATAAAATCAATTAGAATAATAGGTTGGAAATTAGGGAAATTTACACCGAGCTAAATAGGTCAGACTCTTATCATTTAGTTCGGATCTAACCCTAACTTATGAGAGGAAACATACATCAAAACTGTTTTTTGCTGCTTTTATATTTGTAAGATAAAAATAATATAGGATTTATATATGTAAGATAATAAAAATTAATTAATTAATAATTGTACAAATCTGTTGAATATTTTCATTCCATCTCAATCTCTCACTCCAACCAAAAAGAGAGTTCGTAAAAGATGGAACACAACATCTCAAAAAAAAAAAAAAAAGGAGATTTACGTTATTAACCCTAAATTTAATCATCCTTAGGGTAATTTTCTTTTTCTTTTTGTAACTATTCCTTCCATAAAAAAAAAAAATATATATATATATATATATAACTATTCTTTCTTATTTTATCTGAATTTCTTTTTCTCAAAAATATAAGCCCAAATTACTTCAATGATTAAAAAACGCAGGAAAAAATTACACGCAAAAAAAGTAAATTAAAAAAAAAACAAAATACATGTAAAAGTATCCTCACAAGGCATTTGTAAAAATAACTTAATAAGAAAATTTTATTAGTAAAATAATTTTTTAAAAATTTTTATTTATAAAATGACTATGAGACTGATAGTCGATCTTACGATGAAGGTTATTTTATCAATTTAACTTTATTGGATAATCATTTTAGGAGGCTTTTGTAAAAATAATCTAATAGAAAAGCTTTATTCATAAAATGACAATTCAAAAATTTTTATTTGTAAAATGACTTTCTGAGAAAAAAGAAAAACGGAAAAAAAGGAACCCAAAAACCCCTAATCAGTTTTCATGTTTTCATGGCCAAACATGTGAGCCCGCCACCCATCCCCATTGGAGATCCCGCCGACCATCCCCATCCCCACCCGCGACCCATTGCACCTAAGCAACCCCAGCCAAGCCCCATCCCTATCGTACCGCCCACTTTGAGAACCCCAGCTAATCGTGCCACCCACTTTGAGAACTCCAGCCACTCGCGACGCCCACCTTGCGAACCCAGCCATCACAATCGCGCCGCCCCCGATCAAGCCACCTCCCAATTGTGTTGGACTCCCAACTTTTCGTTATGAATTGAACCGGACCTTCGAGGGCTTTCTTCCGCAATGAAGAGTTCTTCTTGCTCATGTCGGCGAGAGAAGGAGGGCGTCCCGCGACTGAGCAATGGATTATGGTAATAAAATAAATAAAATTAAAATTAAAATGTCATTTTTTTAATTTTACTTTTTTACTCGGTTATTTTAGCCAAATTCTCTCATTTTAGCATATTTCTCGATCCTCCTGGATATAACGATGTTGTAGTCTTGTAGACTAAGCTCGTGGTCTTCATTTGATAAAATTAAAATTAAAATGTCATTTTTTTAATTTTACTTTTTTACTCGGCCAAATTCTCTCATTTTAGCATATTTCTCGATCCTCCTGGAAATAACGATGTTGTAGTCTTGTAGACTAAGCTCGTGGTCTTCATTTGTTTGCTCGTCGGCGGCGGCGGCGGAGGATCAACAATTTGGGATCCGAACGTTATTAACAAGATCGAAAGAAGATGAAAACCCAAATGCCGACGGCGAGAGTTCTACTTCCGGGTAATCCTTGCCTCTTTTCTCTGTTTGCCCTTTTCACAACCCAATTCGGTTGTCGTTCTTCCGCCGCCACTAGTCGTTTGGAGAAACTCATCCAAACGCGATGTCGATCGAGAACTCTTAAGCTCCACGAAGCTTTGGATTTATTCGATTCCATGATCCGAATACGACCCGTTCCCTCTGTTCGCGCTTTTAATCATTTGCTCAATTCACTCTCCAAGATGAACCACCATTCCACTGTTGTTTCCATGTACACTAAGTTGGTTCTCTTGGGTGGTTTCGGTTTTCGTCCTGATGTTTGCACCATTAGTATTGTGATCAAATGCTTATGTCGTTTGAAGAAAGTGGACTTGGGTTTTTCTGTTTTAGGGACTCTGTTTAAATTTGGAATTCAGCCCAATGCTTGCACTCTTAATACCCTGCTTCACGGGCTTTGCACGCAGGGATCGGTCTCTGCGGCCGCCGATTTGTTTTCGGAGATTGTGGACAAGGAACACCCTTTTGATGAAATTACTTGTGGGACTCTGATTAATGGGTTTTGTAAGGCTGGAGAAACTAGCAAGGCAATTGAGTTGCTTAAGAAGATTCCTTTACACCCAAGGATTAAACCCAACGTGCATTGTTATAGTCCTATTATTGATGCCCTCTGCAAACAAGGCCAAGTAAACGAGGCTTTCGGCTTGTTTGAAGATATGATGACTAGCCATGGTGTTCGACCAAATGTCATTGTTTGTACTTCTTTGGTTTACGGATTATGCAAATACGCTCATTGGCAAGACGCAAAACAGTTGTTGGAAACCATGACTAGATGGGGCATATCTCCTGATGTTTACACATTTACTGTTATTTTGGATGCTTTGTGCAAGGAAGGGAGGATTCAAGAGGCACTTGATCTCTTGACGAGAATGAGTGAAAGGGGCATAAACCCTAATTTCATCACCTACACTTCTTTGATTTATGGGTTTTGCCGTTTAGGCGAATTGAGGAAAGCCATCGCTTTTTTGTTAGATATAATGAATTGTGAAGCGGTGCCGCTCGATGTCATTGCCTTCAACATTATATTGGACGCTCTTTGCAAGTTCGGAAGGATGAAGGAAGCGCTTGCTATGTTTCGTCTAATGTTGCAAGGATATATAAGGCCAGACATTGTGACTTATAACATATTAATCTATGGATTGTGCCATTCAGGTCGATGGGATGAAGCTATGAGGCTGTTTGATGAGATGTTGAATCTCGGAATATCTCCTGATACTATAACTCTAAGCGGAATTTTGGACGCTTTTTCAGAAAAGGGTATGATGGAAAAGGCCCGGAAATTGTTTGAAGAAATGATTCGACGTGGTCCTAAGCCTGATACAATATCCTACAACATATTGATGAAGGGATATTGTCTACTGGGTGAAATGGACAAGGCGGAGGAGGTCTTTGAAGAAATGGCATCAACGGGTGTTCAGCCCGATACTATATCATACAACACATTAGTCATTGGTTACATGAAGGCGGATAGAATATATGTTGCCCTCAAGCTTATTGAGGACGTGATGGAGAAAGGGTTAGTTCCCAATGATGTAACTCACAAAATTTTGTTAAGCATTCGTGCTAGAAGGATTGTTGCATTCAGATAATAAGTCTTCATGAAGTCCGATCATGAATTTTTGACAGTTTTGTAAATGATTGTATATTGTTATAATGACATGTTATTCTTTTTCTGTTATTGACCATATCACACTACATCACTACTGCTTGGTGTAGAGAGATATTATCAACACAAGGGAATATAGGGGAGCCACGTAGCATTACATATATTTATAGCAACTTCGTTAGTGAAGTAAAAAAGCTAGAGAGATGCAGGTTCAAGTAACATGTAGATCACAAAATTTCCTTACCTTAATTTGTTCAATGTTACCTATACGATTTTGATGGATAGATATATATTAAAAAAGACTGTGCCATTAGTGCCATGATGGTGGACTGGATATATATTAAAATACTTGATTATGGCTTGCTGCACGTTTGCTTTCCATACAATTTTTGTTCCCTGCCTTGATTTTTTGTTTTTATTCTCTTTTGGTTTAATTTTCTTTTTTTGTGCTAATGCAAATCTTAGGTTGGTAAGAATTTATTTTTCAAAAATGGAAGAGAGTATATAGTTACTATATCATTTAATTGTATTTTACTGCCTTTAAAAAGTCACAAAGTTATTGTCTATTCCAATATTCTCTGTTAGATCTTTTGCTTCAGGACTAGGCATGTGCAGAAACTGAAAGAGTAAAGTTGACCAAAGTTGAATCTCCAAAGGACGTGCAGGGACTAGTCTTTGGTGAATAACAGCTTCAAGTATTCAGTCTGCAGCTTTGTCTTTTGTATTGGAGTTTTTCAATTGACTAAAGTAATTCTTTCTTTCTTTCTTTCTTTCTTTCTAATGTTTTTCCTCTTGAAGACGGTTATTGTCATTGTTTGCATTTGTTGTCGGGCATTGATGGAGATTGTTTGGCATATAGAAGATTTCTCTGTTAATAATCCTACTGTGATAAATTGTTCTAACTTCTAACAGCACGATGTCAGTCCACGGATCTACTTCCATGTTGGCGAGGTAAGGTACCCTTTCATTTGCTGTAATAACTAGATGCTTGCTTTCAAATTCATCTGCTAAGTTGTTTCGCAGGAACTAAACTGGCAATAGACAAGTTTGTACCCCTGAAAGAACTCAAGGGCCTACTTATATGATGTTGCAGGGCTCGACAACAAGGAGTTTCCATTTGAAAAAAGCTAATGATTGAGGATAAAATGCAGTTCCTAGTAAAAACTCTCAAATGAGAACAACGTATTGTGAAATCACTTGTATAAGACTAGGTGCGATTTCTACTTTTTGTTGATTCTCCGGTACTAGTTTCTTTTTCTGTGTCATAATTCATAATTAGGCCATGAAGCTATTTGACCCAAATTTTTCTCCAAGTTATTTACTGCGTTGTCATAAGTCATAGCTAGACCATGAAGCCTTCTCTATATATTTAGGCCGCTGCTGATGGAGTTCCAGATGAGCAAGAGGAACATGGTTCATAAAGTTTGATCCAGCTTAGCTTGTCTTTCTTTGTCTCTTCCGTTACAGTATTACCTGGGTATATGTTTTAATGCCTGTGATTTAAAGGTTGAGATCTAAGTCTTGAGCTCCTTTTTGATGATGTTGGCAAAGGTAAGCTTGTCTTTTTGTCGTTTAATCGGTGAATGCTGCAATAGCATGTTGGACCAACTGCATTTCAGGAAGCGCTAGCAGGTTTCATTATGAGGATTGCAATTTCCACTATTTCAGTTCTCCTTTTGGTTTGATTGATGTTTCTTATTCATCTAACCTTTATATATTGGTCATTTGCAAATCATGCCAAAAGGGTGTAGTGTTTTTTTCGTAGAATCGACATTGAAGGCTGGCGGAGATCTTGATTCCTTGTTTGTGTAGTGACATGATTGCAATTCCCTAATAGACTATTTCCAGTCTAAACCTCTTGCAACTCATCTTTTTCCAAGGAAATGAATAGAGGCAACAATTATATTTACAAATTAGGTTGCTCCTAAAGATAACATAACAGAAAACCATCAGGAGGTTGATAAGGTTGATAAACCGTTGCTTAGACAGGTTTATGTTAGGAAGGGGAAGAAGGAGTGACGTGGAGTTAGGAGTGTTGTTAGTAGTTAGTTAACTGAGTTTCTGTACATTGCCGGGGGGGGGGGGGGGGGGGGGTGCTCGTGTGTAAGGAAGAGAGTGTTTGTCGTGTGTCAGGAAGAGAGTGGAATAAATAGGCCAGAGGTGGGATTAGAAAGGTAGGAAATAACTGGAGTCCGTTGAGGAAGTCTTAGCTGAAGCTGAACAAGGGGAGAACGAGAGTGTCGATAGTAGTTTGTAAATCTGTTTGGTTCATCAATAAAGATTACATTTTTCATTCTTTTGATTTGTTTCTGTGGGAACAATACTCTGTTCTATCAATTTGGTATCAGAGCATTGATTCTGGCAAAAATGGCGGCTAGGAAAACTGATGAAAGGTTCGAATTGGTGAAAAAAGAAATCAAGGAAGTTAGGGTTTCCATGGAAAAAGGAATTGGCGAGATGGAGAAAGGGCTCGGGGAGGTTAGGGTGGAATTATCACAAAATAGGACGGATCTGTCTGAGATTCGCCAGCTAATGGAAGAACAGGTGAAACTTCTGTCGGCATCAACGTCGGCGCCGGAGAAGACGGTAGCTCAAATGGCTGCGACCGAGGGGGATCACGGAGTGAATCGCGCCGGAGAAGGTTGCGAGATGAATCGTGCATGTGATCGCGGACCTAATTGCGCCGGCGATGACCGCGAGGCGAATTGCGACGGAGAACGCGCAGGGATTCGCGCCGGGGAAGTTCGTGAGGCGAATCGTGCAGGTGATTGCGTGGAAATACGCGCCAGAGAGGAAAGGTCGATTAACCCTAGGGTGTCGCAAAATGTGATGTGTCCGGTGGGAGATTTTGGTTGGCGCGAGCAAGGCGTAGATCGGGCGGTGGATTTAAGGATTCCACGGAATCTTGGTCACGATGGAAGGGAGGATGAGCGCTGGCTTGCTAGGGGGGCTCCTTTGGGTACCCAAGGGAAAAATTGGAATGGTCATCGTGGTGAAGGGCGTGGATTTTTCATGGAAGGTGAGTCCATGGAGTTCGACGATCGACGGAATGGGACAGGCGTTCCTATTCCCTGAGGAGGAGAAAGGGGAAGGAACATTAACGTTGGAGAAAGGTATAGAGAAGGCTGGGAGGGCAGAAGCGTCTTGGAGGAGTTGTCGGTGAATGAGGATTGGGCGGCCCTTCGTCGGCGACAGGTGGAGTGTCCTATCTTTGGAGGAGATGATCTCGATGGCTGGATATTCCGTATGAAGCAGTTTTTCTCCATAAATCGTTGCTCGGAAAGGGAAAAACTCATTACTTCGGGAATTTCATTGGAGGGAGATGTTCTCTCTTGGTTCCAATGGCAGAATGGCCGCATGCCTTTCCATAATTGGTCAGAGTTTAGGGTAGCGTTGCTGCAACGTTTTCGTTCCTCGCAGGAGGGCAACCTTTGCGAGAGGTTTTTGGCAATACGGCAGGTAGGAACAGTGGCCGAATATCGCAGGCAATTTGAAGTTTCAGCAGCCCCATTAAGGGATGTGCCGGAGGAGGTCTTGGAGGGAATTTTTGTAAATGGGCTTAAGGCACAGATTCGGGCTGAAGTGAGGCTCTTGAAACCAGTGGGGTTAGGGGAAATCATGGAGATTGCTCAGAGAATTGAAGAAAAAAATGATTTGCTGTGGCGTGAAGGGGCGGAAACAAGGTTTTCCCGACCACAATTCCATAGTACTCAGAGGGCTGAGTTTTCACCAACTATGGTTAGGACGGTGCCGGTGGTGGAACGTCCACAGCGGGGCCTTGCTGTGATGGAGAAAACAGCAACTCAAAGACGAGATTTTCCATTTCGTAAGCTATCGGATTCTGAGTTGCAGGAGAAGAGAGATAAAGGGTTATGTTTTAGGTGCGATGAGAAGTTCACCTTTGGTCATCATTGTAAGAAGAAGGAGCTTTGCATAATGCTTGTTAGCGATGAGGATGCAGCCGATTGCGAAGTGGATGATCCAATTTTGCCAAGTTCAGAATGGGAGGAGGGGCAACCGGAACTCATCGAGTTGTCTTTGAATTCAGTGGTAGGACTCTCGACGCCAAAGACTATGAAGCTTCGAGGCCCAATTGCTCAGCCAGAGGAAATAGTGCTAATTGATTCCGGTGCAACTCATAATTTCATTTCATTGAGTTTTGTGGAGAGGTTTTTGATTCCGATTGCACCCACTGTGGGTTTTGGGGTACAACTAGGAACGAGGGAATCAGTTAAAGGAAAAGGCTTTTGTAGGGAGGTAGCATTGAAATTAGTACATTTGACCATAGTGGAAAATTTTTTGCCACTAGAATTGGGGGGAGTGGATGTTATTTTGGGCATGCAATGGTTAGAAACATTGGGTGGGATGCATGTGAATTGGAAGTCTCAGATTATGAAATTCAGGGTGAGAGGGGAAGCGGTTACTTTGAGGAGAGACTTGAGTCTTTCCACCACAATGATCTCCCTTAAGGCTATGGTTAGGACCATTAAGCATGAGGGCCATGGCATCTATTTAGAATTGAGTGCTTTGGATGCCAACAAGGAACCGGATTTGGGTGTAATCGGGGAATTGGACCAGCAATTTCAAGGGCAGATGAGTGAGGTTTTGCAGCGCCATTCAAAGGTTTTACACATGCCGGAGGGGCTTCCTCCCCAAAGATTGCGTGATCGTTGCATTATCCTTCAGGAGGGGACCGCTCCTATTAGCGTCCGACCTTATAAGTATCTTCATTTCCAAAAGAATGAGATTGAGAAATTGGTAAGAGAGATGCTTTCGGCGGGTATCATACAGCCGAGTAACAGTCCATTTTCAAGCCCAGTTCTTTTAGTTAAAAAAAAGGATGGTAGTTGGCGTTTTTGTGTTGATTATCAGGCGCTTAACAAGGCTACAGTTCCCGACAAGTTTCCCATCCCAGTTATAGAAGAGCTTTTGGACGAATTGTGTGGGGCCACCATCTTTACTAAATTGGATTTAAAATCTGGTTACCATCAAATTCGGATGTGCAAGGAAGATGTTCCGAAAACGGCTTTCCGAACGCATGAGGGTCACTACGAATTTTTGGTTATGCCCTTTGGGTTAACTAACGCCCCGGCCACTTTCCAATCTCTCATGAATGAGGTATTGAAACCTTTTTTGCGGAAGTTTGTATTGGTATTTTTTGATGACATTTTGGTTTATAGTAGAACTCTTGAGGACCATGTCAACCATTTGGATGTAGTTTTGTCTGCTTTGGAGGACAACCACTTATATGTGAACCAAAAGAAATGCATTTTTGCTAGTAGTAAATTGGAATATTTGGCCCACATTGTGTCTGGAAAGGGGGTTTTGGCTGATACTAGTAAGATTCAAGCAATGTTAGATTGGCCCACCCCTCATTCTATCAAGGAGCTGCGGGGTTTTTTGGGGTTGACCTTTGGTCCGTACGCACAATGAAATGGCGCCCCAATAAGTAATGGCGCCATTTCTGAATGGCGAGGACCACTACCATGAGCTCGCGCTCATAAACAGATTTTGTACGCACACGTGATGACAACACTTGACTGAAATAAGCAATGGGCTGCTAATGTTGCATCAGGACCGCGCCAATCCCAAACCCCGACGCATCTGATTCCACGACGAATGGCTGGAAAAAGTCCGGCAGTACCAAAACCGGAACTGTGGTCATGGCCAGCTTCAATTTCCGAAAGGCGTCCTCCGCGTCACTAGTCCAATGAAAATTGTCCTTCTTTAGTTGCTGCGTCAGCGGCCAAGCAAGGTGCCCATACCCCGACACAAAGCGCCGATAAGTTTTTGTTGGAGCAGAGACTAATCAGTGAGGACCACCAGAAATGGTTGTGTAAGTTGTTGGGTTACGATTTTGAGATTCAGTACAAGCCTGGATCTGAAAATCGGGTGGCTGATGCGCTGTCTAGGCAGTCTTCTGGGGTGGAATTGCAGGGGGGGTACAGGGGGGTTGTCGTGTGTAAGGAAGAGAGTAGAATAAATAGGTCAGAGGTGGGATTAGAAAGGTAGGAAATAACTGGAGTCTGTTGAGGAAGTCTTGGCTGAAGCTGAGCAAGAGGAGAACGAGAGTGTCGATAGTAGTCTGTAAATCTGTTTGGTTCATCAATAAAGATTACATTTTACATTCTTTTGATTTGTTTATGTGGGAACAATACTCTGTTCTATCAGAGGCTTGACCAAGAACCTCATTGTCACCTAAAGCCATGAAAGGCCCCAAATCGCACTGCTTCTGTGAAGGTGCAGGGGATAAACAAATGCATTGAGACCTTAGTTAGGATGAGTAGGTTTATTAAAGTAACGGATCACTTTGCCAAGAAAAATTAAATGAAAATGATACTAATAATAATAATAATAATAATAATAATAATAATAATAATAATAATAAAGAAATGATAGAAACATGGACTGGATTTTGAAAAAGTAATAAGCTAGTATGAGAAACTGTTAATTGTACATCATCTTTTGGTATTAATAGCTTTGGTCTTCATAATTCATCCATCCTTGTCATCAGTCAGTTGTAATACCTATTGGAGAATCTACATAATTTTGTAATTGATTTTGTTTATTATCTTCCTAGTTTAGAAAATCTGATTTAGTTTCCTAGTTTTGATGATTTGTAATTGATATGTAAAATCCTTCAATCAAGGATCTTAACCTAGAATAGGATGACACCCAAATTAGGAAACTTCTCTATGTTGTATTCTGTATATATTTCTGTTTAGAATCAATACATGGCATGCCATAATTCCTTCATTTCCTATAATATCTATGCATTTACCGAGATGAGGGCAAATTGCTTTTTCTTCTGCTCTGACTCGTGCGAGTTGCATCTGCTTTTAATTTTCTTCTGCGTGTGAGTAAATTGTGATATGGTGTTTTAGTCTATTCTGTCCATCTAAGATTTCTTTGAATGGCAATTTGGATCTATTGAACTAATTTGAGCTGTTGTGTTCTTCTTACCTTTAAAGTTGATAAGAATGGTGCTAACATGGTCTGAGATTGGTATATTATTGTTATCAGCCTCGGCCTCAGCAGTTCCTTGACCCCGTCCTCGTCGGTTCCTAGCTATGGTGACAGATAGAAGATGGCGCAAGATAGAATAATACAACCTGTTAACTCTGAAATATGTTTATTCATCAATATCCCTATCATCTCGTATAGAGGTGCTTAAATCCCTTCCTCCCACTACAGGGCCCCAGGGAAAACGGTTATAACCGTATCTGGGGAATATGGGGGAAAATGGAGCAGAGGGATCCAGCATCGAGATCTCTGCTCGCTTCGTGTATAGGAAAACAAATAACAGAAGGAGAATAACAAACAATAATGACTAAACTATCCTCAGCTAATTACCGCCCCATAACACTACCTCCCGCTCGAAAAAACTTTCCTTGTCCTCAAGGAACGGAAAAAGAAGGGAACTGGTTCAATAGTGTTTCCTTATTCTCCCAGGAGGCTTCGGCCTTAGTACTGCCTTTCCAGCGTATCAAGAACTCGTCATTTCCGGCAAGGTGCCGCGTTGCTATAATCTCCGCCGGTTCTTGTGCTGCATGGGATCCCCATTATGGTGGTTGGTTAGCCACGTCAGTGTTGTCTCCGATCTTCCTTTTGAGCAATGAAATGTGGAAGACGGGGTGAACCTTGCTTCCTGCAGGTAGCTCCAAACGGTACGCCACACTGCCGATTCTCTCAGTTACTTGGTAGGGACCGAAATACCTGGGGGACAACTTGTGGGAAGGTCGACGCTCCACTGAGTGCTGGCGGTAACTCTGCAATTTTAAGTAGACCCAATCGCCCACAGCCAGCTCCCGATCGACGTATTTTTTGTCATATACTTGCCTCATCCGGTTCTGAGCAGCAGCTAAATTAGTGCGAAGGAGCTCCAACAATTGGTCCCTGGCCCGCAGAATTTCATCTACTTCCACGGACTCGGTTGTGCCTGCTACGTAGCTCAAAATGGTTGGGGGGTCTGCCGTAAACAGCTGCAAACGACAACAATTGGTCCCTGGCCCGCAGAATTTCATCTACTTCCACGGACTCGGCTGTGCCTGCTACGTAGCTCAAAATGGTTGGGGGGTCTGCCGTAAACAGCTGCAAACGGGTTTGTCTTGGTGGCAGAGTGCCAGCTGGTATTATAGCAATACTCAGCCCAAGGGACCCATCGAACCCAATCCTTGGGTTTAGCCCCTGTGAGGCATCAGAGGTACATTTCAATGGTTCGATTTACAACTTCCGTTTGTCCGTCCGTTTGCGGGTGGTAAGCCGATGAGAATTTGAAACTAGTTCCCTGGAGGCGGAACAGTTCTGTCCAAAATCGGCTAGTGAAGGTAGGGTCTCGATCGCAAACAATAGAATGCGGTATGCCGTGAAGGCGAAATATCTGTTCGAAAAACAATTGGGCCACTGTCTCAGCCGTGTAGGGGTGTGCCAAGGGAAGGAAATGACCATACTTAGATAGCCTGTCTACTACCACCAGTAGGATGGACTTCCCCTTGGACTTAGGAAGCCCTTCCACAAAGTCCATTGATATATCTGACCAAATTAGAGTGGGAATAGGCAGCGGCTGCAGGAGGCCGCCCGGTAGCTACTGATCATGCTTGTTTCGCTGGCAAGTGTCGCATTTCCGTACCCATTCTTTAACCCTCTCCTTTATATTTCTCCAGTGGAAGCACTCCTTAATGCGCTGCACTATTTTATAGAACCCTTCGTGGCCGAAATCATGGTATTGTTACAGAATGATGGGGACAAATTCTGAGTCCGCAGGCACATATATTCGATCCTTATAAAAATGCACCTTCTCCTTGATTGACCATGGTGTGCTCAACTCCCCTTTCTTCACCTTCGCCGTTAATTCAGTGATCTCGGTACTTGTCGTATTAAGCTCCAGCATTAAGTCCCACCACGTTGGTTTAGGAAGTGTTAGAGCACATAATGTCGCTGGTTCTTCCTTCTGAGACAACCCGTCTGCCACTTGATTAAACTTTCCTTGCTTATATTCAATGACAAAATCATATCCCATCAACTTGATAATCCACCGTTGCTGCATTTCCGTGGTAATTTGCTGTTCCAACAAGAACTTAAGGCTCTTGTGGTCGGTTCAGACTCGAAATTGCCTTCCCAATAGGTAAGGTCGCCAATGTTGGACTGCGAAGGCTAATGCCAGCAACTCTTTTTCATATGCTGAAGAGAACACATTTTTTCCCTTTAAGGCGGTACTAAAGAAGGCAATGGGGCGTTCCTGCTGCATGAGAACAGCCCCTACTCCATGTTTAGAGGCGTCACATTCTACCACAAACTCTTTGGTGAAATCGGGAAGGACCAAAACTGGTGCTTCGGTCATGGCCTGTTTCAGTTTGTCAAAGGCCTCAGTAGCCTCGTCATTCCAAACAAATCCTCCTTTCTTAAGCAATTCTGTCAAGGGTCTAGCTATGCGCCCGTACCCTGCTATGAAGCGGCGGTAATAGCCTGCTAACCCAAGGAATCCGCGGAGCCCTTTCACATTCTTAGGGAGCGGCCAATTCCTCATGGCCTCCACTTTCTTAGGGTCGGCCTTCACTCCTCCGATGCAGATGATATGGCCGAGATACTGGACTTCCTTCTTGGCCAGTGTGCACTTCTCCCTCTTGACCACTAGCTGGTGTGTTTCCAATATCCGGAACACCTTATCTAAATGGTGGTCATGTGTTTCCCGGTCAAGGCTATAAATGAGGATGTCATCAAAGAACACTAGAACAAATTTTATCAGTACTTCTTCAAACACCTCATTCATGAGGCTTTGGAATGTAGATGGAGCGTTGGTAAGGCCGAAGGGCATGACCAAAAACTCATAATGTCCACGATGAGTGCGGAAAGTCGTTTTCTCTATGTCGGCCTCCTCCATCCGAATTTGGTGGTATCCGGATCGTAAGTCCAGCTTGGTGAAAACTTGAGCCCCCTTAAGTTCGTCTAGCAGTTCTTCAATGACAGGTATAGGAAATCTATCCCTAACAGTCATTTTGTTCAACCCCCGATAATCTACGCAGAAACGCCACGTCCCGTCGTGTTTCCTGGCGAGTAAGACTGGGGAAGAATAAGGGCTGTGGCTGGCTTGTATGATGCCTTGCTGAAGCATGTCCTCCACCATCTTCTTGATTTCTTACTTCTGGTAGTGAGGGTATCGATAAGGGTGCAAACTCACTGGCCCTCTTCCTGGCAACAGGGGAATTCGATGGTCATGATTCCGCTTCGGAGGTAACCCCTTAAGTTTACCAAATACGGTGGGATATCTTTGTATCCAAGGTTTCCATTCTTCCGATTCCCACTCTTCCTCATTATTCCCTTCCAGCCCCTGTATTTGCAGCAACATTCCGGTTCCATTACCCCTTTTTAAGGCCCTATCCACTGCTCGAGCCCCAATATGTTTCACCTCCGGTTGCCCTACCCCCACGAGTTTCTCCCTATTTTTTCCCACTGTGAAACTCATCTCGATAGTGGCAAAATTCCACACTATGGGACCTAAAGTTCGCAACCATTGCGCTCCTAATACGACGTCACAACCTTCTAATTCAATTAAGTAAAAATCAACAATAAATTGGGTATTTTGAATGTTGAGTGTTACCTCTCTACACACCCCGGGGCTTCGTAGTCTTTCTCCGTTGGCCACCACTACTCGCAGGGAGGAGTTCTCCTCCGTTTGCAGCCCGGCTATCCTAGCAAAAGGCTCATGGAGGAAATTGTGGGTAGATCCGGTGTCAATGAGGATCGTGAGAGGGGCCCTTCCCATCCTTGCGGTGACTCGCATGGTTTGAGGGGTGGTCATTCCCACCATGGTATTTAGGAAAACCTCCGGTTTGCCCCCTGCATCCTTGCCCTGCTCCTCCTCGGAAACCGTGTCTTCCCTGGCCTCTCCCTCGATCTCGATCCAAAATAGCCACTTACAGGCGTGGTTAAAGGAGTAGCGTTCATCACAGTGGAAACAAAGCCCCTGCTCCCGCCTCTTCTACAGCTCCGCTGGGGTAAATCGTCGCACTGGTATCTCCGTCCGTTTGCCCCCATTGTCCTCTCTCGCAGGGGAGCGGTCCCCCGATGTAGGGTTCCTTTTGAAAAACAGTGTGGGCTTATTTTCGTGGTTCCTCTTTTTTCCTCCCCGGTTCTTCCCTTCGTAGATGCGGGCCAGGGAAATGGCTGAAGACATACTAGTTGGGTTCTGGGCCCTCACGTCGGCCCGTAATGGATCCTTCAGCCCACTAATGAAACAGGTCGTTTCTTGCTCATCTGTTAGAGCTCCAGCCTTCCCCAACAGCCGTTCAAACCGACTATGGTAGTCCCTTACCGTGGAATGCTGGTGGAGCTTGCACAGCTCCCCAAAACCATCCTCGTAAGGGGCCGTTCCAAATCGCAACATCAACTCCGACTTGAATTCCTCCCAATCCATTTGGGTTCTCAGCAACTTCTTCCTTTGTATCCAGATCTGCGCGTCCCCCTTCATGTGGTACGACGCCAGACGGACTTTCTCCGTTTCCTCCGTTCCCTGAAACTCGAAGTATTGTTCTGCCCGATACAGCCATATGGTGGGGTCATCTTGGCCGTCGTACCTCGGAAAGTCCAGTCGTATGGGTTTTGCTAACACGGTTCCCGCCGTCCTGTCCCCGGTTGCTCCTGGTCGGCTCTCTCTTCGATTGGACGCAGAAGCTTCGTCCCGGGTGTGCATCATCTGTAGGAAGTCATTCATCTGCTTCAACATTCGCTCCTGCCCCACGCTCAAAGTCGCGTCTGTTAGCGTTTATGCCCTTAGGAATAAATGTAACAATATTCTTTGAGATATTTTGACTATTAATAAAGATTTGTTTATTTTATATATCTATGTATTGTCCTCTTTATGTTCATAATAGTTGAATGTATGATAAGCAAACTGAAAGTCTGAGACTGTCATTCTAAATAAGGGCTTTGAGAAGCATGTCGAGGCTATGGGGATGCGTAGCATGTCACATTTACTCACTTAAGTGCAAGTGGGAGATTGTTAGCGTTTATGCCCTTAGGAATAAATGTAACAATATTCTTTGAGATATTTTGACTATTAATAAAGATTTGTTTATTTCATATGTCTATGTATTGTCCTCTTTATGTTCATAATAGTTGAATGTATGATAAGCAAACTGAAAGTCTGAGACTGTCATTCTAAATCTTTAGGTCATGCATGTAATGTGAAGAACATGCGGAAGACAAGAATCTAAAGATGATAGTCTAAATCTTATGATCCACAATCGAGGGAATAAAGTTAGGTGCTTTATTCATGTTAAGATTGTTATGTTGTCTACTTTCTAACGGAGACGGCTTGTCTTGGTCGTCGGGGGTGGGACTCTATGGGGGGAGACATTGATATAGTTTCTAATGGTGAAATCTATATTGGATCGGACCAAAGTTGAATTGTTTTAATTAATAATTCTGTTTGAATAAAATAATTCACTTTTGACGAATTATATGTTGTCATCTTAATCCTGAGATGGATAATGAACCCGTATGCTTGACTTACATCCTTTGATGTACTAAAGGGAGACATCTTGACATTATGTAAAGGTACGCTTGCCGGTACATTGGGGGTATGACTCGTGTATGCGTAGATTCGTTATTTATAGATAGTGGAATCCATAGCTCCTATAAAGAGTCAATGATATCCTCTTATGCATTATCAGTGGATTGGAAAATATGAGCGCTCAGCCATTGGACTACTCTGTGTTATCTAATGGTTTACTGTTTGTAATGATACGAATAGTATTTTTCTGATGGTATGATAATGGAACATAAGATAAATGTAATCGGGAAGGTAAAACGGAACTTGACCTCAAGTCAATTATGGATATCCTATGGGGATGATGCACTAATATATTGAGTCATGGACTAGAGCTAATCAGAGCTTTGTAAATACGCTATATAAATCGAGAGTGCAGCTCTAGGCTTTTAGTGGAATAGCGCTAGAGTTTTATAATCATGAGACGGACTTGTTGGTTTACAAGTAGCGTTGTGATTATAGGAGCTTGATTTATATATGTCCATCGGGTCCCTTTGCTAGCTCACATAATTTCCTGTAACAATACGGTCTATTTCCTCACATTGGTAACTTGTGTTATTTCCGTAAAAGAGGTTCAAAGTTAATTCAAGGGTGATTTATCGGGTGAATTAATTGATAAATTAATTCTAGATAAATTAGTTGAATTATTGTTTTAAGAGTTGTTTAATATGGGAAGACTATTATATGACTGTTTTGATCAGGCAATTTCTCCATTGGGTTGTTTGAATCAAAACTAATGCTCTATGCAAGTTTCTCGTATTGAAAAACTAGGAAAAACAACTTTCGTCAGTGCAGACAGGTCGACCGGTTGGGTAGACCGGTCATAGGTCGACCGGTCCGGTCGACCGGTTAGTGAAGACAGGTTGACCGGTGAGTTATAACGTCTCTGTCACCGGTCGACCGGTTGTAACGTAAAATGCATGATGACATGGCAAAATCGACTCTGGATGCGATTAGAACTTTGGGAAACCTAATTGTTACGAAAGTATGACTTCCTAAACACTATAAATAGCCTATTAAGTCACATTACTCATTAGATCACTTGAGAGACTTTTTGAAGGCTATTGATAAAAGATTCCTGAGAGGAAAAATTGTTTAATTCTCAAGAACAATTTTTTCTTTGGTTCTCTTGTGATTGGAAGGAGATCCAGAATACCTAGAGGAGATTAAACGACGTGTGCCCACCCGCACACCGATTGTGGAAACGAGAATAGCAAAGAAGACCAATTGGTTCAGGCTCTTCCGGTTGCTGTTTGGAACGCTTAGATCTGTCAGACGTGCAGTTTCCTGAAATCTCAAAAGGTATGTTTTAGATCTTTAGTATTTATGTTATATAGCATCATGAACATGTTCTTGTTTGGCTTTGACGTTGATTAACATTTTTAAATTCCGCTGCGCACTCGATGCCATTAATTTTCCAACAGCGACTTGTTGCTCAAGGCGTTGGTACCGCTGGTCCTCAGCCATGCCTGGCTCTGATACCAAGTTGTTATCAGCCTCGGCCTCAGCGGTTCCTCGACCCCGTCCTCGTCGGTTCCTAGCTATGGTGATAGATAGAAGATGGCGCAAGATAGAATAATACAAGCTGTTAACTCTGAAATATGTTTATTCATCAATATCCCTATCATCTCGTACAGAGGTGCTTAAATCCCTTCCTCCCACTACAGGGCCCCAGGGAAAACGGTTATAACCGTATTTGGGGAATATGGGGGAAAATGGAGCAGAGGGATCCAGCATCAGGATCTCTGCTCGCTTCGTGTATAGGAAAACAAATAACAGAAGGAGAATAACAAACAATAATGACTAAACTATCCTCAGCTAATTACCGCCCCATAACAATTATGATGGCAGTTGTTGATATATTTGGAACTCGTGTGGAATATGACTGGCATAGCATTATACTAATGATAAATTGATTTCTAAACACCAGAGCCAAAGTCAATTATGTTTATTGCAATGGATCTTATGGGTTCTTTGACTGACATGTTTTAAAATTTTGTATGATTTCAAGGATCGCGCAACATGGCCGGAAAACGTTGAGAGTTTTTTTCGTTCATCTGTTATGAGGAGCCGATGAAAAGGATTGCATTCATCTACCTTAGACCCAAAAAAAAAAAAAAAAAAAAAAACTTGGATAGAAATTGAGAATGAATTAGCACTCAAGTTTGGGAAGCATTACAAGTTGTATTACATACTTATGTATTATTTGCTACTTATTTGTAATGTACCTTAAATTAAAGATTTTCTATTTAATTATTTGTTGTTGACATGCTTTGAAATATCTGATTGTTACCGCTTATAACTAATTAGACATTAGTATACTAGTAATATATTAATTACGTACTAACATACTAATCATTAATTATTAGTTTTAATTATTTAATATATAATTCTAGTATATATATTAATTTTTTTATTTATTAAGTGATTATCAATTAGTAATTACTTAATATATTATTTAGAGATTATGAATTGATGTACTCAAAACACATTTTCTTATACCCACTCTTTTTACTTTTTTGAAACTACAGTCCCTCCCTGTATGATTCTCAAAATCTTTTCATTTTTATCCTAAATGGGCCCTATATCTCTCTGACTTTACGTGCTCATTTTGTAGATAAAACTTTTTGTAAAATTCTTTTTACTATACACATCCTTCAACTTAGGAAGGTCCTCTTATCTGTCTGAGGAACGTGGCCCACTGTTGGGCCAGGGCATTATTTTTTCAAGTGGGCCGATTCAGACCCAATAAAAGCGGATTGTTGCTCTTAAATTCTACTTTGATAAGGTCAAAATAAATGTTAAACTTAACATCAATAAATCTCTTCTTTAGGGGTTTCTACGCTAAAAATTGATATCTCATCTGTGGTTGTCTACTTTGATTAGTTATTGCTTTGGTTGATTTTTGTTAATATTTTACTTGAGATCCCATTTAGGCACACAAAGACAGAGGGAAAAGGTTTTATTCTGATTTTTGTTAATATTTATCAGTAGATACCATCTTAAAAAAAAAAAAAAATCATAATTTTCAAAGTTCCCATGTTTATCTCTTTCCATCTTATTAGACGTGTTGAACAACCTTAAATTTCATTTCGTTCCAATGCTTTGATGCAGAGTGCAGAGTTTGAGAGAATCGAAAATACCATGTAAAGTTGGATATGGCGAGCAAATGGGCAAGGTAGTAAGTGCACATTATCTTGGGTGTAAGCCTTAACCAACAAAATATTTAATTCTTAAAATGCGATTTGTTGGGAAACAACAAGTCAAACAATGTTGTCCTTTTGCAGCCTTGCAGTTATGTTTTTTAAGTGAGTATGCATTTCTTTTCTTTTTTTGACGCCTCTTGAGACGCTGTGGAGGCCAAAGCAGAAAGAGAGAAATATTAACCCTCAGATCCGGAAATTATTTGGTTTCCATGGAGGGCATAGGTATGATATAATATATATATCCAAGGAAGTGAGACTTGAGAAAGAAGAAGCAGAGCCTAGAAAATGGAAGCAGTGCTAGCGATGATGGCACTAACAGTTCTCTTTGGTGGATTTGTGTTGTATCTTTATAACAATATGGTTCTGGAGCCAGGAAGAATGAGGTCAAAGCTTCAGAAGCAAGGTGTTCGAGGCCCTTCGCCTTCTATCCCACTTGGGAGTATCCCTGAAATGAAGAAGATTCAACTCCAGGTTCGGTCAAGGACTAATACTCCAAACGACCGCCTTTACGATGTCGTTTCAATTGGTCACGATTGGCCTTCCACCGTCCTCTCTCATCTCATTCAATGGAGAAATGAATATGGTAACTTCTTATCCATCATTTTATGTTTTACTTATTTTTTTGAATGTTGGGTGAAACTGGTTTTAAACAATCATTTCAATCTAATTTGTTTGGCGCAGAGTCAACAACTTACCAGGAATACGTATAATAATGTGTGTGTTTATATGCAGGTCCAGTTTTTATGTATGAATTAGGAAACATGCAATTCCTTTGCATAACAGATGCAGAGATGGTGAAGGAAGTGAGCGTCTACACATCCTTGAACTTAGGGAAGCCTTCTTATCTGTCCAAGGAACATGGGTCACTGTTGGGCCAGGGTATTATTTCTTCCAGTGGACCCATTTGGGCCCATCAGAAGAAGATCATTGCCCCTGAATTCTACCTTGATAAGGTCAAGGTAAATGTCACCAATTTAGAGTATGTTTGGATGGAGAGAAGCAGAAGGGTGGAAAGAGGGTAAATCCATTATTTGGTTGAAGGGAGGAGAATTTAGATCCTTCCATTTAAATTTAAAATGAAAAAGACAATATAATAACTAGACAAATAATTTGTCGTCTATCCGTCAAATCAATGATTGATTGTCCTAACGGGAAAAAACTCGGAACCTTTTTACTCAGAACATGCTTATAACAAAAACCAAAGCATCATGTCTGCAATTTTATTTATGATAAAAGTCCATAAATGCAATTAATCTTTCTATTCTAAAAGGGCATGGTGAGCCTAATGGTGGACTCTACAAACTTCATGCTAAGAACATGGGGGAGTAGAATCAAAAGTGAGGGAGGAGTCGCAGATATCAAAGTCGATGAGGATTTGAGGAGCCTGTCTGCAGATATAATCTCAAGAGCCTGTTTTGGAAGCAGTTATTCACAAGGGGAACACATTTTCTCAAAGCTCAGAACTCTACAGAAGATGATGTCCAAGAGAATTCTTGGGATTCCATTCTTAAGGTACTACTAGATATCATCTTTGTGCTAATTATTCCAAGTATTGTCTACGATGACGTCTTATGTGCATTTCTGATTGGTGCCAAAAACACACACACGCTTTAGATTCATCCCGACCAAAAACAACATCGACATATTGAGATTAGAGAAAGAGATCCACACAATGATTTTGAAAGTGGTGAAGCAACGCACTGAGGAGGCTGCTGAAGAGAAGGACCTTTTACAAATGATACTCCAAGGCGCCACAGCGTCTGGTGGCATAGATAACCCACCTTTGGGCATCACTCGGGACAAATTCATTGTAGATAACTGCAAGAATATATACTTTGCTGGCCATGAGACCACTGCTATTACCGCATCGTGGAGCCTCATGTTGTTGGCTGCATATCCAGTCTGGCAAACTCGAGTTCGTGCAGAAGTGCAAGAAATTTGCAACGGTGGAAGCATTCCACATGCTGATATGCTTCGAAGCATGAAAGTAGTACGTTTACAATACCAACTTTTCTGAAATCTAGATCACAAACAAGTAACAATGATATGTAAGTTTTGTTCTGAAATATTAATCTCGTTGGCAGCTTACTATGGTGATTCAAGAGACATTACGCCTTTATCCACCGGGAGTGTTTGTCTCTAGGAAAGCCTTGCAGGATATTCAACTCAAAGAAATTCTAATTCCGAAAGAAATGCACATTCAAATTCCAATATCAATATTGCATCAAGATACTGACCTTTGGGGGCCTGATGCACACCAGTTCAATCCAGAAAGATTTGAGCATGGGATTCTTGGAGCTTGCAAACTTCCTCAAGCATTCATTCCCTTCGGAGTAGGGACTCGCATTTGTGTTGGCCAGCACTTGGCCATGATAGAGCTAAAAGTGATTTTATCACTTATTCTGTCTAAGTTATGCTTCTCTATGTCGCCAGCATATCGACATTCCCCAGCTTTCAAGTTGGTCATAGAACCTGAACATGGGATTAATCTCCGTGTAGAAAGAATTTGACTCTATAGTACATGAAAGCTTCTTTTGTAGAAGCTCAGTTGGAATATGCATGGTTCCCCAGTGAATTTTGAAGATAAATGTATGCAACTACTTCTAACATGTCCTTGTTGCAAGTTAGAAATTCTGCTAATAGGTGGGAATGCTAATAAAGGCTAATAAAGGCTCAGAGGGAGAGAGGGTATCTTAGGTGGGAATGCTAATCCAAATTTATATTTTGACATCTAAAATATTACATGTCCCTGAAAGTGTTATGTTTTCTTCCTTAAGTAAAAGGCTAATGAATGAAAAAGAGGAATTATATGTATAACAAATTGCCTGCTTGCTAAAATGTTTCAGTGATGCAGAGATTACTGATTGCGTCCATCTTACGCCCTAAAAAATGGCTGTCTTAATGATGCTCAAATAGATCTTCAAGTATGTTTTCCAAGCATCATTTTACAATTGAATATCACATAACTTCTGTTTGTGCTTCATTTGTTTTTTTTTTTTTTTTTTTTTGATAAATGTGTGTGCTTCATTAAGGCTGCACATGTATATGGTTCCCTAAACAAATCATGTAATGTGCACTCTTTCTTGTTTTGAGAGAATCCAAACTTATGGTTTCAACATTGGAGACCTAAAAAATACTAGCATAATAGATAACTTCAAATATTTGAAAATTTATTCCGTTTCCATGAATTTGAGAGGCGATGTTTTAAATTAAAAGAACAAAATAGTGTTATGACAGACCCAGGTAAAAACATAGAGAGGAAGATTTCCTATTTGAATTTGTTGGCAGTTCAACCTTTCTGTCACAAGGACGATTCAACAGTCAACACAAAGACATTCTAGTTCCAAAAGAAATCAAAACGTTACAAAACAGCAGCATCAGAGAATTCAAATCCAAATGATGCTCAACATAGTCAAACGAACATTGAATAATAAATAGTATTGAGAACACAAATGAAAAGAAAGTTTTTCCTTGTCACTCAACGTAAAGCATGGTTCTGTATTCACTGTAGCCCTCTATTGTCTACACCATTTATGGAAAGCTCAAGTCCAACTTCATTCTACTAGATTAGACGAAGCACGAGTATCAAAACAAGTTTCATGAGAAGAGAGACCTATTCCGGTTACGTTCAAGTCGAGCTTCCCTCTGTCGGAAACAGAATTTATAAAGCATAAGGCATGTACAGTTTAAAATGAATTAACTACAGGGTTTCAAGTTTTCTGAAAAAACCAATACCTCCTTTTTCTTGCATTCCTTATAAATATCAAAATGTTCCTGGCATTTGCTTTTGTCCGAGTTAAATTCTTCTAGACCTGTAATTTTTAACCAAGTCAATCAATATAAAGACTACAAAGGATCAACCTTGCAAACAGCAAGTGTTTCCGTCTTTACTGACGATAGTTGGAACTCAGAACGCTAAAGAGAGGCAATTAATGCAAAATAAACGACACTTGTCTCCTACATAGCTCTCTTCATGACCGTTTATATACAACAATATAAGCAGCATAAGTTGGGCCATATTAAATGATTTGTGATGTAGCAGAAGCATAACAAAAAAGTAGGAAAAGTGTAAATTCCTAAGATCCGTTGATACACCTAGAATACTGGAAAATGGGACTTTTATTAACTTCTTGATTCACGTAGAATACCGGGAAAATAGGCATCACCTACTCGTTGGTTCTGTGGAATTCCGAGATAATTGGAATGGGTATAATGAGAGAACTCTCAAAGTATATTACAAATCATCAACAACTGAATGACAAAATGGCAATAAAGGCCTTAAATATCAAAGCTAATAACATAACCTATTTTAAATTCGAAATCCAAATTCTAAAGATATCACAAAAAGGAAATAACCATGAATATCCTAAAATACATAAACATCGTAGAGGATATGGCCAAAATTCAAATATAAGCATGTAAAAATAAACTCCTAAGTTTGAACTATACGGCTGCAACGGTTTGTCACAATTTCTACCAAAATTTGTTGAACATTGATAAGATCTACAATCATCAGCACTCAGAACTTGTTTGACATTGTTAGGTAGAAGCTGCTTTTAATCTCCCAGAGTTAAAAAAAAAAAAAAAAGCTTGTATGGCCTTCTAAAATAGCGTCTAGCCAAAGCAGCAAAATGTAACTTCAATGAGATTCATTTTATAAACTTTATACTCACATTTAATATATCTATATATATATATATATATTACGTATTATCAAGTTTTAAAGCCTATTTCTATTTCATTAAATTCCTATAAAAATATGGTTCCAAACAAAAGACTAATTGGAAAACTTATCTTATATCCTTCTAAGCAAAATTTTTTTTCCAAACAAGCCCTTAGATTCATTCTAAAATTCCCTAACTAACATTTAGTTTAAGATAGATAGATAGGTATTTAACTATTAAGAGTGCATCAAGCAGGCTAATTTATTCTTGGAAGCACCCTGAGGATTCAATTAGAACTACCATATATATATAAGAAGTCATTGAAGCTCAAGAAAAATAGGTATATCGGTGTATAAGCATATCCGTATAAAAATTCAAAAAAAAAAAAAAAAAAAAAAACCCCCCGATGAAAATAGCGTTCCGAGGGAAAATAAGGTCCAAAGAGTTATGCATGAATGTTAAAGTTACATTTGAGAGAAGCAGTGTATTGAGGAAAACAAGGAGAGTCGGAAATCCTCGCAGCACTTGGGTATGGCGGTGCTGCTGTTACTGTTACACCTCCCGAACCCTCTGACGGTGCCATTGCTTTTGCTGTTTGTATGAGATACCTCTGATTAGATATGCGTTTGTCTTGTTTTAGTTTTACTTTGCTGATTTGGGCCGGCCCTCTTTTGGAATGGGCCTTCCTGAAAGACAAAAAACTGATGTTTCAGTTAGATTACACCTTATTTCATTCCAATATACGGGCGTGATAGAATGGAACAAGACAACGATTGGTAAATCTTTCAGGCTGCTTATTATTGCAATGTTTTATTTGTTTTTTTTTT